AATCAAGTCATACGTGCAGCCCTCATCTTTGAAGTCTGGATTCCCGAATCGAGAGCTTTACAGTTGCTGCGAAAGTGAGAAGAGATGTTAGAAAGCATTTAAAATCATTAAAGCAGGTGTTTTTCATACATTAAGGCTACACCTCATCTTGGTGGCCATTTGTGTGTGAAGCAGCAGATGATTTGGAAGTTCCATTGCTAAAATATTTCCATCACAAAGGAATAGTTCAAGCTTACTACAGTCTATCTAGAGGTGCCAGTTATGACACTTATGGACCATGTCACTGAGGAGGTTGTTTTTAATGCTGAATGCTTAATAGTCTCTGTGTCAGAAAACTACTGTTCGAAATCTTAGAACTAAAAAAACATTTCTTAAATTTGTTTGGGAAAACCAGGAAATAAAATAGAACCATCAGAGCACCTGCCAGCTTTATTTTGTACTGAGTGTGACAGAAGTTCAGTTAAGTTGGCAGGCTGTCACCTGTGTACTTGCTTTTAAGGCACACACCAAAGAATGACATAGTGCACTGCAGCTTGTTTTAGACTACTAATCTGTGTTGTTTTACTGAGCGATACTTTTTTAAAGGTACACTCCCTTCAGGAGGGAGTACTAAGTACATTCGTGTACTTCCTGTGTGTATTGTAATGTTTCCTTTTTAGTTTTGTTACAATAGTCACATGTAACACAATGAAAGGTATGCAGTATCACTTTAGCCTTTCACTTTTTAGGCAGCTGATACACATTCTGAAGCTTGATGTTTCATGCAGATTCACATGGTGTAAATGACATGGCTAAATAAGTCTTCAGAAGTTATTACCTGATAGCTCTTGCTGCTTTAACTGAAACCAGGATGTAAATCCATGCAATGAATGAGATGTCAGACCCTGGGAAATGAGCACCAGCTTGCTTGGAACAGTGCTTCTCAAGCAGTGCACAAAATATGCATTTGTCATATAATAATTTCAGTGGATCTGCCTGTCCTTTTAGAAAATTGAACAAAATTTGTTAACCTTCAAGGATCAGTTAAAGACAGTCCAGTCATAGTGAGCTGCTATTTGAGATTCTCTTCAACTAAATCTGTCTCTTTTGGGTCATTGCATTCTGAAATACTGAAAGTTAAACCTTAAGTAGATATATAATGTAGTAAGGAATATGGTAATGGAGGGGAAAAAAAAAGGTTGAGATTATTGTAAGACCTTTTTTTTGAGGAAAGGAATGTGGTATACGTAGCTTGGAAAGTGTTTAACTGTCAGCATATTAATTCATATTCATACATGCTACAGGGGCTATTCTTCCACACTTGTGAAGCCAGATTGCCATGGGAAAATGAATGCATTTTAACCACAGCTCAGTTTTGATTTGCTTGGCTTCACATTTATGGTGCCCTGTCCTTCATATCTAACTGACATTCCAGAATTTCCAAAATTCCTTTATTATGATATACCAACAGATCAAATCGTAGTCTAAAATAGCCTTTATTCTTTTCTCTTTTGACACTTTTTTCACATCACTGGAAAGTCCATGTAATGGCTTTCTGGATTCATTTAGCAGTCTTGCGTTTATGCTACATACACTTCGATAGGCCTAAATGCTCTTCAGTATTAAAATTTGTTGGAAAGAGCAGTTTTGTTCTCTTGCAGTTATTCATCTGTGCTTAAAAGGAGGACATAGATGTGTAGGATAACCTAAAAAATGAAAAGGTAGTATTGTGCAGGAAGGACAGCCAACAGGACACGGATGTGTTCAGTTTATTAAGTGGACCAGCTGAGGTGTAGGCTGTGTCAGGAATGCTCCTGCATGCATGCAGTTACAATTAATAGATACTTGTGCCATTACCACTCAGACGAGTCAGCACAGTGAAGCCTGGAGGAACTGCAACACTTGTGCCAGCCAGTCAGCGTTAGGCTCTGGGCAGTGGTTTGATGCCAACAGGTGATGGTTCCACCTCAGATGCTCAGCATCTATGCAGTGTTAGGTGTCCACATGCCAGCATTCTTCCCTGACCTCTCTTACTGGTAGGAGTATATTCAATTTTGGCACAGGCTGCCCATCACATCTCTCAACAGTAATGGAACCATACAGTTTTCCAACAATTTCAGGTTTTGTTCTTCTATCGCCTGTTAATCTGTGGCTTTCACTGAGCCCAGTTCTGTCCTCCCTGGCTTACTAGCCTCAGTTCCTCAGTCTTTGATCAGGGAAGTTTGACAGATAGCTAACTGCTCTGTGGCATTTCCTGCATGCTGGCATTCCAAAAACACTGCATGGACAAGAGAAAAAATATTTCACTGCAGAATGTTGATATTTTAATGGTGTTTGTTGTTTTCTTCTCAACCATTCTGTGTGATAGTGTTTAGCAGTTTGGCTCCACATGTAAATTTTTAGGATCTAGGCAAGAATGAGTGCAGCTAACAGAAGTAGCCAATGGATGCAGCAGTTTGTGCTGCATTTCATGCAGCAAAGGTCCTCAACTCTGCTCAGAACAGCATCCATGTCTTGAGCGATTGTGGTGATGCGCCCCAGGGCACAGTCCCTAATGCTGGACCAACTGTCCCTCTAACATCAGAAGCCTCAACCCACAGAGAGCTTCAGAAAGAAGACACAGCTCTGCAGGTCTGGGGCTGCACGGAATGCCTGTGGCCTCTTCCCAAGGCTGGGGCAGCAGGAGATGGTTTCCTTGCCCACAGGAGGTGTGTGGTTGTTATTAAAGATCTGTGTCATAAAGTAAAGGAGCTGCGGGAAGAGGTCAGCAGTCTGCATATCATCAGAGATAATGAGAAAGAGACTGACCAGATCTTTTCCAGCACTGCAGCTTCCAGAGCCCAAACTACCAACTGTACTGAAGGGAGAAGGGTGAGACAGTCTGTGCCTGTCTATTTGGGAAGTGGAGACTCCCATGATGATGAAGGTTGGAAGATAATGACTTCTGGCACTAGGAGGAACATTTCTGCATCACTTGAAGATTTGCAGCTACTGAATAGGTTCACTGACCTCATGGCTGCTGAGGAGCTGGAAGCTGTCAAATAAAGCATCTGAGCTACACAGGAGCACCAAAAGGAAGAGGCGAGTGATAATGTGAGACTCCCTTCTGCAGGGAACAGAGACTCCCATCTGCCAACCTGAGTCATTCTCTGTAGTTTGCTGCTTACTGGGGGCTCAGATTTGGGACATTGCGGAAAAACTGCCAAAGCTTGTCCAGACCTCAGAGTATTGTCCCCTGAGAGTTTTGTCCCCTGCCGCGCTTCCATGTGGGCCCCAGCAATACTGCTAAGGGTGACCTGGAAAATCTCAGGCATGAATACATGACTCCAGGGGCAGTGGTCAAGGGCATGGAAGCCCAGGTGGTTTTCTTCTCCATCTTGTTGGTCAGAGGGTAGATGGATCCTGCAGGTCAACAACTGTTTACATAGTTGATGTTGGCAATAGGCTTTTGGTTTCTAGAACCATGGGACCGTGACGCAAAGGTGCTTTTGCCAGCAGGCCAGACAACCTGCTGAGAAGAGCTTTAGGATAAGAATGATGGGAGGGAGAGAAGAGGACCAACATCCAAGTGAGAAGTGGCAGACTGGCTTGGTCTCAGACTAAAGCCAAAACAAAGCAATGTCGCAGCTACTAGGAAGAAAAATAACTGTTACAGCTGAAACCAGGACAGTTGGCAAGTAAAGGGTCTACTGTGATGTGAACAAAAGAACGTAATCCAGAACAGGGCTAAACTGGGGTTGCTGAAGTGTACATGCACAAACAAGAATGGGCCTACGGGACAGCATTATGTGGAAAGCTCTCATTCCCATTCTGAGAAGTCACCATGCTGCTTCTCTGAAGCACCTGCATGGCATACTTGTGTTGTACAAGGAGAGCCTGAGAGAGCTGAGACTGGTTACCCTAGATAAAGGAGTGCTTAGGAGGGATCTTACATAAAAACATAAATATCTAATGGGAAGGAGTGAAGAAGACAGAACCAGACTTTTCTCCATGGAATTCGGTAAGAGAACAAGAGGTAAATTGACACAAGTTGAAAGACAACAAATTCAATTTAAACATAAGAAATACTGGAACATGTTGCATAGAGAGTCTGTGATCTCTCCATCCTTAGAGATTCTCAAACCCCCACTGGACATGACGCTGAGTAACCTGCTCTGATTGAATCTACTTTGAGCAAGGCAGGTAGGCTACATGATCTTCAACCTCAACAATCCTGTGATTCTAAGAACTTCATTCTAGGTTTATGAGAGTCAGCCCAATTGAAAGAAGTGTCATCTTAGCGTTATATACATGTAGCTCTGGAGGAGCTACCTTTTGGTGATGAAGTTGTTCTTGTTTCTGGCTTTACAGAAAGTGGAAACTCTTGATTGAAAGTTAGAGTGACTAAGAGCCATCAGTGAGTAATGCCAGTAAGCTGGAGAATCTTTCTAATCTTTGACCTTATTTGCCTAGTTTTCAGTGCAAGCCCTGAGGCAATATAATGGCAGGAAAATAAAAACTTAAACTGTTGAAATCCTTAGAACTGAGAGTTCTGTATTTTGTTACTTAAAAAGTAGAAATACTTTTGGAGTTGATGTAAAGATTTGTAGAGTGATGTTGCACACATGCATACCATGGATAGATTAAGTGTTTACTAATTATACTTCAGTTTTCCTAATTCGTGTGTGTCTGAGTGTCTTGACTTGAACATCTGTAAACATTCCTATCGAGGCTATTGCAAAATATGGTTAGCTTTTCCTCTCACTGTAATAGTGGGTCTTCATATAATACGTTGTTTAAGCTGACAACTAACATTAGGTTGAGACTCTAGTCATTTCAATTTGTCTTTTTCCCTTGTCAGTAATACAGATAGTATAATACATTATATGCTGCTTAGATTCCAAAGTTAGCCATGCACAGATTTGACAAATAAACCCAGTCTATAAGCAGTACTGTAATAAACAAAAATTTAATAAAAGCGTACCTCTGTATTTAAATGGTCTGCTAACTTCCACTAATTTTTCCCTCCTTCTTCTCCATAGAATGTGTATGTAAACATAAACCGCATCATGTCAGTAGCAAATCGCCTGGTCGAGTCCGGCCATTATGCTTCACAGCAAATAAAACAGATTGCTAGTCAGCTGGAGCAAGAGTGGAAGGCATTTGCTGCGGCCTTGGATGAACGTAGCACATTATTGGATATGTCCTCCATCTTCCATCAGAAAGCTGAACAGGTTAGTGAACAAAAGTTTCTGTGCTGGAACAGTGAGTTGTACTGCTTGCTATTGATTTAAACAGAAGTACAAGAGAGTGATTGAAGAGCTTGGCAAGAAAGGCAGAGCACTTATTTCTGCTGATTTCAGCTGATATTCAAACAAAAAATTTTTCTCCTCAGGACAGCCCATTGCCCTTATATTCTCCACAAAATGCCTTGACCATATCAATGCAAGATAAAACTTTGCCAAGTGAGCTATGTGAATGAAAATGGACATAAATGCATAACTATATGAAGCTTTTAAGTTGAAAGAAAGGAAAACATTTAGTATAGTCAATATCGATGTAATGCCCTTCCTACATCCAGAAAGCATCAACTGTTCTATTGTCCTCACCAGTCCCCCCCAGTCAGTCCTTGAGTGTCAAGATTTAACTCATAGTAATTACTTATAGAAAACTAAGTCAAACTGGCCTGAAAGTTGAGAATTTAATTAACTGTCTTCTGAATCTGAAATTGTGTGGGAGATGTTTACTTAGTATCCCGTAAGAGATTCCTCCTATATTAAACAAAAATTTTAGCTTTAGGCCTATACCAGTTATTTTAATTAAGTCATTAACCATATGTAACTGCGAGAGAAGAGGTATACATAGGGGAAATAGGAATAAATATCCCTAAGTTAATGGTCTTGATGGTGAAAGCATGTTTTCCCCTCAAGGGAATTCAGTTCTGAAGGAGTTCCTGTGTATGTGCTGTTGAGTCACCCATTGATAATACAGATTATCATAGATTATGTCTGCTCTGTATATATCTGGTGAATTTGGAGAGCAGAGGTTCTTGGATTGTTATGGCTGACTGAAGCTCTGGTGTGCTGTGTGGCTGCTATAGTTACTTTCCTTCATATTTGCCTTGCTAAACTGGATCCAAGAAAAGGTCTCATCTGATAAAAATTTAATTTGGAATAAATGAAGAAACCACTTGGGAGTCAGTAACTGCAAAAATACAGAGAGGCAGCACAGTTTAAGAAGTTATTTTCATGATTTCTAATACATAGATATTCAACTTCATAAATGTCCAGAAGTGAGAAATGTGAACTTATCAAGATGCAAATACACACTGCTTTTCATTATGTTAATGGTGACATTGGTTTAACTGTCCTTAGACAGACTAAGGTAAAGTATATAAATTAATGCCACTATCGTAAGTATTTTTAGCAGGTTTTACAGAATGGCCACATAAAAAGGAGATAGAGGAATTGTTTTCTGATACAAAGCTCGAAGCGTTTGGTAAGACACAGTGTGGTACCTTATCGGTATTGATGCTTTTCCAATTGCTTGGATTATTGAGGTTTAGCCATACATGTAGGAGAGAGATGGTAAAACATGAACAGATAGGTATACCTTGACTCAGATGCTGTTCTTTTTCATAAGAAAATGATACTCATCAGAAATCAGGGGACTAAATTTTGTATATGTGCTGGGCAGCTGTGGCAAGAGTCAGTATTACCTTCTTTAACACTAAATCTAAATGTAAACAGGAGGAAAGAGAAGAAAAGAATGAGAAAATAGTGCAGCATCTGCTGGGAATAATTTAATTGCTCCTTCTGCATTTTTAATTTTTTGATTAACTGTGATGGATTGTCCTAGTTGCTTTGTAAGATACCTCACTGTGATATATTAGCTGTTTCATTAACAGTGGAGAGGGAGTTCAAGGAAAGAGGGTTTGGAATGAGAGGAATGACCCCTATAGAGACTGGTGATGCTTGATCTACATAAAAAGATAAGCAGCCAAAGAAATAATGCGCCCTCCTTGAATGCGTTTGTTCCCTTGTCAGTGTTAGGTAAGTGTCGCCGTCTATCATCAGACACAGTGAAGACTGCACCCAGATAGCAGTGCCTGAATGGTGCAAGGGGTCCCACATGGAGCTTCTTTTAATCTTCAGTGCTTAACATTAGAGATTTTTTAAACTATCTCTTAATGAAATGAGAATTACATAAGTATCGTAGAATTAAGTACTCTACCATCCTTCCTCCCAGCTTTCAAACAGTAATAGAATACCAGAAATGGTCTATGGATTACTTTCTCCTCAAAAGACTTCATGTGCTCCTGGAATTAAGATACATATGATGAGAGAAATGGCTTGGTCTCTTAAAACTTTGAAACTCGAACATGACATGAATAGAAGACAAATTTAATTTACAAATGCCACTTGCCTGGCTGTACTAAGTCTAACAGCTATTAAAACTAGAAAAACAGATTCTTTTTTCCTCTTTCTTGGCATAACATGGGTATAAAATTCATGCCCCCTAGCTGTCAAAAATAAGTTGACAGAACTTCTGCTGTGCATACAGCTATGATGGCAGTTTCTTGTCTGTCAAGGCAGCTTAAGCTTCAGTGATAACTTAAATTGTCTGGAGAAGAGATTGTTGCAGTATCCTCAATTTCCCCTGAAAGGCTTGACTTGAGCAGCTCTGCTGACATAGCTGCGTGCTTAAAGTTCAGTGTTAGTCCTAAGAGATGCCCGCTTAAGTTGTAAATCCTTTACATGCTTGCTGCTGTAGTAGCTTACCAAATGGATTTAGTGCTTCTCTGTGTGTCAAAGCTAGTGCTTTGGGGACAGAGGTGTGAATTTTCTGTGCTCTAATACTGCTTTGCTTCCTTGATGATCTCTTTCCAACAGAAGACAACTATGGAGTGTTTCAGTGAACAGTTCACCTTTAATTTTTTGTGTACATGTGCACACATGCAAAGTAAAATCCATTTTCTCTGAAGATTTTTAAAAAGGTGAAGTGATACTTCATGATACCATGAATATCTGAACAGGGAGTTGATGGGTAAGAGCTGAGGGTCTGGACTTGAAAGTTGCAGCATGTTTTACCTCTTTACATAGAGAAGAATTTAATTGGCTTTCATGCATCTGAAGTGGCAGATGCAGGGTGAAGTAAACTTTTCCTTAGCTGCTAAGTCACAAAAAGGAGGAAGAGTAAACTTGGAAGCATCAGTATTGCCAACAGTTTAATTGGTTCTGAAAGCTGTCAATGTACAGCTAAGCCTGCCTGTCTGTGAACGGCTCAAAGAGTTCCATACACCTAAAAGCAAAAGTACGGTCAGACTTGAATATGTATTTTTATTCTGGTATAAGCTTCATTTTGGTCAGTTCAGAGAGAAATACATTAAACATTTTCCCCTTAAAAAATTAATAATATTTTTTCAGTGGCTATCACACAGGTGTCAGTCCTTTTGCATATTACCAACGTGTGGTACTTATTGATAGAACCCAAAATCAAGAGAAAGTTTTTTTTGTCTGTTGCAGTACATGAGCAATGTGGACTCGTGGTGTAAAGCTTGTGGTGAAGTGGAGCTTCCCTCAGAACTGCAAGATTTAGAAGATGCTATTCATCATCATCAAGGGATATATGAGCATATTACTTTGGCTTACTCCGAGGTAAGTGTCTTGTTTGTTTCCTTCAGTTGCTGAAAATGGTGTAATGTTTGGATCATGAAGGGGCATCACTTGTTGCATAGCGCATTAGTTGGAAACTCAAGTGCCAGGGTTCTTTTTTAATTTAGTATTCTGGACTTTTCGGTACTATTGTTCAAAAGTTAAGTGTTTAAGTCTTCCCCTTAATCTTCTGGAAGAATTTTAAAAGGCAAGATGGAAGTATGTGTGGTACAAACAGCTCATGCAGTCTACTAAGTATGTTTTAGTTCACATTTTTATACTACTACCTTTTAATAGCAGAATTATACTACCCATAAAACACCTACTTGAAGGGAAGCTAGCTAGGTATTCTTTGGGAAAGTATTCTGTTGGCATGAATTGCATTAAGTGTGTTTCAAAAATCTTGTTCTGAAATTGCCTCACAAAAAAGGCTTAACCATCAAAGGATGTCACTTGACAAGCCATAAGGTAATATACTTAGTTCTGCCAACCTTAAAAACACTTAAATGAGCCAGTGCACCTATGTAGTCAACATTCATAAGATTAGCATATCCTATGCTGCTGCTCTAGGGTTCTGCATGCAATGAAGTAATATTTCCCAGTATTTCTAATAGTTGTATTTACAACTGTCCTGGGTTCAGCAAAAGCAGTCAGTTTTTTCTCCTTCTTGATAGCTGCTGCAGTGCTGTGTTTTTGACTTTCAGCCTGGGAACACCACTGTTTTTAGTTGTTGCTAAGTAATGTTTACTCTGATTAAGGACTTCTCAGCCTCATGCTCTGCCAGGGAGGAGGGATAGTCGGGAGGAAGCAGAGGCAGGACACCTGACCCAAACTGGCCAAAGGGGTATTCCATACCAGGGCACGTTATGCCCAGTATATAAACTGGGGGGAGGTACCCGGAAGGCCCAGATCATTGCTCAGGTCAGGCTGGGTATCAGTCAGTGGGTGGTGAGCAATTGTATCCTCTCCCCTTGTTATTTCCCTTATCATTATTATTGGTAGCAGTAGTGGTTTGTATTATACCTTAGTTACTGGAGTGCTGTTATCTCAACCCATGGGAGTTACATTCTTTTGATTCTCCTCCCCATCCCTCCAGGAGCGGGAGGAGAAAGAAGTGGGGAAGTGAGTGAGCGGCTGCATGGTTCTGAGTTACTGGCTAGGCTTAAACCACAACAACTTAAGATAAAATGCTTATTTTGAAGGTGGCCTAGAAGGCAATGACTAAAGTTTCTGTTGTTTTTCAGTTCTGGAGTTCTCTCATGTGCTTTAGTTAGCTGAAATGAGAAATCAATTAGGTATTGACTTCACTATTAGCTAACAGGCATTTTTGTATTTTCTGTTGAGCTTTTCTTTTTTTTCTTTTGGCAATATTGTTCTCAGTGCCGGGTAAAACTATTTTTGCTGTTAAATTAGACTGATTTTATTCTGTATTAAATACAACAATTTCTCTTTTCATGAAAGTTGTGTAAAATTATGAATTCGATTAAATCATGGTAAAAAATGATCAGTGGCCATAGAATAGCTTAGTCTACAGTTCGTACTTTCTTTTAAAAGGAGGTCATGTAGGATTGAATTAATGGTTGTGATTTATACATTACATTAAAGATAATACTACTGTCTCATGAACCAGCTCTATTATGGCAAGTGAATCATAAGCCTGGTCACATTTCATTTAGCACTAAAGGAAGGTAAGGTTACTGCTGATGATCAGTCCTATTGTTAGTATATCAAACCTGGATTTTTTGAATACCTGCCATCTTAGGGCCTGCATAAACTTTATTACTATGAGTCAGATGTCCAGAGTTTACATGAGTTGCTGTTCTTTTGTGTAAAATACAAATATCCCCATTCCTGACACTTTGCTCTGTCAACGGATCTAATAACATACTGAAGCACACCTCTGCTGATAAAACATCTGATCTTACTACACATACTTGTTTTAATTCATTCTTGAGAGCATGTGTTGTAGGAAGGTTTCTCTTCTTCATTATGACCTCTCTTTGTTCAGAGGATCCCTTTGTAAAACAAGGAATAGAGATGTAGAATGTTTTTCAGTAGATTTATGTGAAGAGGGGCAATCTGGGGTGCATGCTGCATGAGAATGCAGCAAGGGATGAGAAGGCTAGGGCTCTCCAGAATAATGATTTTAAAGCACTAAGTTAAAATAGTGGGATTTTTTTTTTGGTTGGTTGGCTTGTTTTTTGTTTGTTTTCTTTTTGTTTTGTTTTGGTGGGGTTTGTTTGTTTTTTTTTTTTTCATTTGTTTTTTAATCAGGGATGTGACTGGATTAGAGCCTGCTGTTAAGTGTAAATAAGTACTGTGAATTACCATGTTAAATACTGTTTGCTTCCTGGTGATGCATAATGAAAATTAATTAAATGGGTAGATTATAGCATTGCTCTGGCAAACCTTGAAAATTTGTTTAGGATTTCAAAGCTGTAGCTTTTGACTTTGGGAGAGATTTTAACTAAATCTTCATTGCTACTAGTCAAAAAAAAAAAAAAAAAAAAAGAAAAAAAAACCAACCCCAAACCACAACCAACCAAAAAACCCCACTTAAGGTTAGATGCCTTTCTTCTGATTTCAGGTCATTACTTTTCCCCATCTGGTAAGGCAATACCTTTGTCTTTAGCAACCAGAATTGGTATAGAAATAGTAGTGACGTTTGTATGTACAAGTCACGTTCCTTCTCTGGACCAAAGGTTTTATTTTGCCTTTTTTAAACACACATTCCTTTTTGAAGATTGATGGAGTTGTCTTTTTGTTTAACGATATTACAGAACTGTTGCTTATCATTATTACTTGTATGACTTCATTTATGTTACAGCATGGAACTCCTTTCATTTTGTGATGAATGAACAGCGGGGGGAGAAAGAGAAAGGAACACTGGAAATTACAGCGCTTTGTCATTCCTTTTAGATTACAATGTCTTGACAACACGACTTGGTTGTGAAGTAGAAGACAGTAATTTTTAGAGAGTAAATGCTTTTAAGACTAGACAGTCTGATTTTACTGGGGATAATTACTGTATATTACTAGAAAAGTAACTTACAGCTTACAAGCTTAGATAACTTGTATGCTTGAAAATCTAAGAGCTGTGACTTAAATGAAGTTTTTAT